AAATAATTAAATAATGACATTTTGGCATAGTTTTAATTTGGTTCCAAAAAAATATGGTCAGTGCGTTACAATTGCGGACTATAAATTGGGTTGGATCTGAGCCCTAAAGCCTCACCTTCACATATAGTTTTCTAATTCTGTAATCAAAAAATCCATATTTTTGCTTCCATAATGAAGAGCTCTGCCTCTACACTTTTCTCTCTTCTTCTCCTTTCATCCCTTTTGCTTCTCTTTTTCTCTACTGGTACTCATCTTCTCTTGTTATTTGTTATTTCTCTTCTTTTCTTTCCATGGATTACTTCCTTTTATTGCGTTTACATTTCCATGTGTATATATATACAAAGATTGTTTATTTTTATCGGTATGTTTTTTGTCAAAGGATTTGGAGTGGAAGTGACGGGAAATCTGCAACATCCACACTACATGGCTCCAGTAGAAGTACGAGTATAGATCCATATTGTCGTAGTACTAGAAATTTCATTTCTTAAATAAATACATATTTTTAATGGGAGCGATGAATGTCTTCTTTGTTTGTTTGGCAGAAAAGTGTGGTGGGAAAATCAAGGAAGATGATCGAAGTACTTTCAGATGACTATCATGGCCCAGGACCTAATCACCCTACGATGTATCTCCCTACAGAGATTTTGTATAGTCCTCCTCCTCCTGAAGTGTAGTTCGTCTCATCCTTGTCTCTCTACCTCAAGGCCCAGCCAACACAGTATATTAAATGTAACTTTATTGTTAAGGGTAATCCACATGCATGGAGTTGAGAACTGTATCTCACTGTCTAAAAGTTCTAAATGTAATGCTCTTCTTCTCTCACTCTCAAAGTGTTACTCCCTTGTCTATCAAAGTCCGTGAATTGCATATGTGCTAGTTAGAGTTTGTTTGAATTAACTTCCTAAGCAATTTTTTGAGTGCCAAAAATTATCTTTTAATAATCTAGAGTATTAACTAGTGACAAATATAAATTACTTTTGAAATTAAACAAATTGGTCATTTAAAATTATTTTTTGAAGAATCGCTTTAAACTTTATTCTCCTAAAATGATTGACCGAAAAAAATTATTTGTTTAAAAAAGTATTTAAATTAGCATTCTCTCTCAAGAAAGGAAAAGATATCCCAATATATAATCCATGCATTGAAGCATTTGAACGGATCATACAACGTCGAATTGTAATAAATGACAGTAGCTACCGTAGTATAAAAAGTTTTCCTACAAAATTCACCGTTTTCTTATAATTAGCTCCACCAAGAAAAGAAAAAAAGGAACAATATTTGGTGGAAAATAATTCCAATCCTTGACCTGAAAACTTACAGTTTGCGAGGCTTTGTTTCTTATGGCCAAACTATCAGCAAAATCATTGGGTAATTGGTTCCAAAAAACTTTGCTCCTTGACTACCTTCATATACCCTATAATAAGAAGACAAATAAAATTCATAATCTCGTTAAAATCTCCCTAAATCTCTTTTAAATTTTTTTTAATTAGTTGGACGATTCTTATGATCCTTTTTTTTTTCCTTATTATTGTGGTGAATATATATGCGATTTGTTGTTCATATATTTCAATCTCACTATCCATGGTTCGAGTATCCATATAATAATCATCAAAATTACTTCTTCAATCTCATGAAAATAATGTAATAAAAATATAGTATATTATAACCCTATGGGCTAGGCAATCGGATTAGAAATAATGGTACAAGTTAATAAAACATAAACATATGGCAATATATATAAATATAATTCGGAGGTAAAAATATATAATTCTTTTTTAAGAAAAGGTTAATACAACCCAGTAGTACTTATAAAGTTTTTTAATCTAGGCAACATTGGCGTGGCATTTGATTTAACGTAATAATAGTGTCTTTTGTTTCAAAATATATATATATATATATCTTGGCAACATTAAATCATTTTTTGCTTGCATTTAAAAGGGACAAATATGAATGTTATTTGAACTGGACAAAATTTGCATATAAAATAAAGAAGAAAATGGATATTCTAAAATACTTTTGTCGTGGCCAACAAATAATAGACGAAACTTGTGAATGAAAGCAAAAAAAACCAAAAAAATTTTAAATGTAAGTATAATAAATTTAAAACTCTCATGAGAAGATTTATTTATTTATTTTTAAATAGTGAAGCATTTATCCCTAAAGTATGTTTTTTTTTAATCGAGATTTTACCAAGTAATCCAACATATCATGCAAATATACGTTTAATAATTCCACCCAATGCATGTCGTCTGCATGATTGGAGAATTAGATTAGCTTCCAAATATATTGTGCTGAAGTTTTACAGTTTTGCTTCCAAATATGAAGTTGGTGCGTTACAATTCCTCATTATAAATTTGGTTCGGATTTCAACTCTAATTCTCAGCCTAAGATGGTTCCATTTGTCCTCAACTCTCTCATAGATAGAAAATAGGGAGCCTTACAATTTTCTCACTTCTTCTTCTTTCATGCTTTCTCCCCCTCTTTTTCTCACATGGGAATTGTAGGACATGCAAATTCTGTAATTACTTCAATCAACGTAAGTTCTATCTCCAACCTCCAAAGTTGTTGCTAACTGTTTCTTTCATATATATATGTGGACTAGTGTCTAAAGTATTTTACTTTAATATTAGAATTGTTTACATAAAGAAACACTCAACTTCCACCATATGTATTAAAGTGGGTATTGAAGAGAACCATAAAAATTTCCATACATTTATGGTGGAGCTGACATCGTTGTTGTCTTATACTTTGTCTCCAGGAAATTGTAGGGAAATCAAGGAAGATGAAGATTGGAGCCTTTTGACACGCCTCTTTTTAAGAATTAACTCTGTTTCACCTCCAATAGATAGATACCTCTGATGATCTGAGTTCTCCTCGGTCTCCAAAAAGACTTCTAAAAGGTTGGGATCTCCGATGATCTAAATACTCCTTGGCCTCTATAACAATCTCCAAAGATTGGAATCTCCACTGATCTTAATATTCCTTGACCTCCTGAACAACCTCCAAAGATTGGGACCTAAGCGGATCTTAATACTCCTCGACTTCCAACGGTTGGGACCTTCGCCGATCTGAATATGCCTAAGCCTCCATAGTAACGTCCAAAGATTGAGACCTCCCTCGATCTAAATACTCCCCAGCCTCTAGAACAACCACTGAAGATTGGGACCTCCATCGATCTGAATACTCCTCACCTCTAGAACAACCTCCAAAGATTGGAACCTCTGTCGTTCTAAATACTCCTTTGCTTCCAGAGCAGCTGTCGAAGATTAGGACCTCTGCCGAATTGAATACTCCTTCGCCTCCAGAATAATCACCAAATATTGAGACCTACGTCGATCTAAATATTTCTCGGCCTCCAGAACTACCTTCAAAATGGTTGGAACCTCTGTCGATCTTAATACTCCTTAACCTCCAAAATAACCTCCAAAGATTGGGACCTCTATTGATCTTAATACTTCTCGGCCTCTAGAACAACCTCCAAA